ATGATATAATTTATCTCAAAATTAACATCCTGTCAGATCGGATATGATATAATTTATCTCAAAATTAACATCCTGTCAGATCGGATAGTGAAATAATTTATCTCAAAATCAACATCCTGTCGGATCAGATACTTATTCTATCCTTAGTTTTTATTAAATCAAAAAAGAAAATTTTCATTTCACAAAAAAAACAAAGTCCAAATATAGATATCTGCAAGATATAATACTGATGGGGGCAAGATGACAAAATTATATCAAAGCTATAACTAGGGAAACACAAAATTGATAATCATGAATCAAAACACTGCACCGTGTAAAATTGTTACACCACTGAATGTTATGAAATGGTTAAATATACCTGTAACAAATACATAACAGCAATTCTCTGAGATGACTGTATTTATAAAAAAAACAACCATCTGAAAGTACTGTACAAGTTGTTTCCTCTTTATTGTAAATGAAAATTTTGCAAAGGAAACAAAGATAAATAACTTCCTCAAATATACAATATCACCTTGGTTCAACATCTGTTCCACAAATAGTTCTATAAATTAACCTTGGATCTAAGTCAGAGAGCTTTAATAAGGTTTTTGATTTCATCAGGGAGTTTGATTCTTTCCACTTCAATCTGAAAATAAAACCATGCTTTACTTTACAAAAAAACAATGCATTTCTTCAGATCCATTTTACCAAAATATATTACACACACACACATCAAAATCCACTTTTAAAAAGGTATATGTACCCAAAGATCTACTTCTACCAATATATATATATATATATATATATATACAACAAGACTCTGCTTAGCACCAGCCAGCTTTAATGAGATTTATTATAGAGCTCTGGATTCCTTGAGAGATTTTTTTTTTCAAGAGAGAAAGAAAAAAATTATCAAAATCCACAACTCTGTGAACACTACTTTTTCATACTAATAGTAGTAGTGCACTAAATATTTTTTATTTAATAAAATAATGCAACAAAGAACATTGAATAGATAACAGACAACGTCTGGTAACTATCACAATTTTTCTGCCGTTTCTAGCATCACAATATGAACCATTAAAACGTTGTCCATCCATATTGTACCTGTGGAAAAAAATCATTTTCTTAGGAAGATATGTCTCTGTACAGAAAACAACGTAATATAATATGTCATTTGATAGACAAAAACTTGGCCTGTCTATTGGTTATAACTAATATAGTCATAAATGTAAGAGAGAACTATATGTATTGACAAATCCTGAAAAAGAAGATGGGCTTGGTATCAGGGGTCTCATTTTCTACTTGATGTAACCAAACAAGATTGAAGACTATAAAAATTTGCTTTTTCCCAGCAATGACAATACTATAGTGAGTAATTTAAGTTAAATTTACCAGTACCTAATAACAACAGTTATACATCATTCACAGGTAAGAAAGAGTTACATATCTACATATATATAATGTTAAAATGACCCTGTTTAGACTTGATTTGTTTAGAGCTCTGTTCACACAAACTATAAAGAAGGTTTGGTGTTTATCACTCAACACAAAATGTAAAACTGTCAAGAAGATTTGGAGACAAACACTCAACACAGAATATAAAACCATTGAGAAGGTTTGTCAGAGCTCAAAATTAGCAGAGGCCTGGTAGCCAATGGCACCTGAAAAATGCTGGTAAG